GAGAGAGAGGGGAGAAGAGGGGAGAGAGAGTGGAGAGAGAGAGGAGAGGGGAGAGAGAGGAGAGAGAGAGGGGAGAGTGAGGGGAGAGTGAGGGGAGAGAGAAGGGAGGGAGAGAGGGGAGACATTGGGGGACACAGGGAGAAAGATTGGGGGACACAGAGAGAGAGATTGGGGGAAACAGAAAGAGAGATTGTGGGGCAGAGAGAGCGATTGGGGACACAGGGAGAGAGAGACTGGGGGACACAGGGAGAGAGACTGGGGGGGCAGGAAAAGAGATTGGGGGACACAGGGAGAGAGATTGGGGGACACAGGGAGAGATACTGGGGGACACAGAGTGAGAGAGACTGGGGGACACAGAGAGAGAGATTGGGGGACACAGAGAGAGAGATTGGGGGGCAGGAACAGAGATTAGGGGACACAGAGAGAGAGATTGGGGGTCAGGGAGAGAGATTGGGGACACAGGGAGAGAGAGACTGGGGGACACAGGGAGAGAGACTGGGGGACACAGAGTGAGAGATTGGGGGTCAGGGAGAGAGATTGGGGGACACAGAGAGAGAGAGATTGGGGGACACAGGGAGAGAGACTGGGGGACACAGAGTGAGAGATTGGGGGGCAGGGAGAGAGATTGGGGGACACAGGGAGAGAGAGACCGGGGGACACAGGGAGAGAGATTGGGGGACACAGAGAGAGAGAGATTGGGGGGCAGGGAGAGAGATTGGGGGACACACAGAGAGAGAGATTGGGGGACACAGGGAGAGAGATTGGGGGACACAGAGAGAGAGATTGGGGGGCAGGGAGAGAGACTGGGGGACACAGAGAGAGGGAGAGAGAGGCAGTCTAGCCCATGACCCCTGTTGCCAGGCAACAGTGTGGGTGGAAGTAGAATTTCAGTCATCATGCTGACAGCTTCACCACAAGCTTTCAAAACTTCCTTCTGACAGAGACCAGCAGAGCCGGCAGAGCACCGCTGACCAGAGCAGAGCTCAGAGAGAGAGAGTGTGTGTGTGTGTGTTAGTGTGTGTCCCTGTGGATAACAGTGTGTGTGACAGTGTGTGTCAGAGTGTGTGTCACTGTGCACGACAGCGTGTGTGTCAGTGTGTGTCACTGTGCATGATTGTGTGTGTCAGTGTGTGTCACTGTGCATGACAGTGTGTGTGTGTGTGTTTGTGTCAGTGTGTGTGACACTGAGCATGACAGTGTGTGTGTCGCTGTGCATGTCAGTGTGTGCCCATGTGTGTGTCAGTGTGTGTTTCAGTGTGTGTCATGGTGTATGACAGTGTGTGTCAGAGTGTGTTTGTATGACACCAACTGACACATTGATGTACACATATTGACACACAGTGACACACACACGTTGATCCACAGTGACACACACACTGACACACAAACTGTCATGCTCAGTGACACACACTACCACACACTGTCATGCTCATTGACACACACACTGTCATGCACAGTGACACAAACACTGACACACACACCATCATGCACAGTAACACACACACATACATACA